ATACCAAGAGATCCTCGGGATACCAAGAGATCCCTAGCATATATTGAGGATACCAAGAGATCCTCGGGATACAAAGAGATCCCTATCATATATTGAGGATACCAAGAGATCCTCGGGATACCAAGAGATCCCCGGCTATCACCCTTGTTATGAGTGGTACTTCCTGGTGTTTGCCTTTATTTATGTTTCCATTATTGTACTCTTATTATTCTGTATAGATTCTTATTGTAGATTCTCAATTGTACTGCTTACCTTATCATGTCATCTTTATATTTATTTAATTTCAGTAGGGCCCTAACCTTCCTTGTCACTACCCAACCGAGGTTAGGCTTGACACTTACTGAGTACCGCTGTGGTGTACTCATGCCCCTTATGCACATGTTTTTCATGTGCCGATACAGGTACCGCTATGCAGGCCTATTATCCTTGAGGAGGCGACTGCTTTAGAGACTTCGAGGTACATCTGCCGCGTCCACAGACTGAGAAGTCCCTTTCTATTCCTGCTTTTAGTATTTAGCCCTTCTGTATTTTACTGTTCTTATTACATATTCCGGAGTTAGAGCTATGTAGTATTGATCTTAGCTTGTGATTCGTGGGTTTCCGGGTCTTGGATTTATGTATTGGTATTGAGAGTTAAACATGGTGTATGTCGAGCGGCACAATTACACACTGTTATTACTTTATTTTTGTTTTATATTATTTTTACTTATCTTGGTTTTTCTTCCGCAATTTAGGCTTACCTAGTCGTAGAGACTAGGTGTCATCACGATGGTTCACGGAGGGCGAACCGGGTTGTGACATTTTGGTTCATAAATATGATAATCCCGAAATTCATGTTAATACGGTAATTGAATCAGATAATGTTGAATTCTTTGAAAGCATCTACCCGTATAAAACTAAATGCGAGTCGTTAAGTGAAAAACCTAAACGACCACGTGAAGAACCAAAGGAAAATACTCCACGTGAAGAAGATCCAAGGCGTAGCAAGCGTCAAAGAAAATCTACTTCTTTTGGACCAAATTTAGTGACATTCTTGCCTGAAAATGAGCCTCAAACTTTTAAAGCAGTTATGTCATCGTCAGATTCAGCATTTTGGAAAGAGATAGTCAATAGTGAAATTCAATCAAATTTGGATAACCATACATGGGAGTTGGTTGATCTTTCTCCAGAAAATAAGTCTTTAGGTTCAAAATGGATCTTTAAACGAAAAATGAAAGCTGATTGCACTATTGACAAATATAAGGCAAGACCTGTTTTGCCAAAGGTTATAGACAAAAGAAAGGCCTTGATTACTTTGACACTTACTCTCCATTATGAAGGATAACATCTATTAGGGTGTTAGTGGCACTGGCGACCGTGTATGGTCTTGAAATCCATCAAATGGATGTTAAAACAGCTTTCTTAAATGGAGAATTATATGAGGAGATTTACATGGAACAAACTGAGGGTTTTGTGGTTCCTGGTAAAGAAAAGAAAGTGTACAAACTTGTTAAGTCGTTTATGGACTTAAACAATCACCAAAATAATGGCATGCCGAATTTGATCAAACAATGTTGGCAAATGGGTTTAAAATAAACGAGTGTGACAAATGTATTTACATTAAAAATACTCCAGGTCATGAAGTCATTGTTTGCTTATATGTTGATGACATGTTGATAATGAGCAAAAATATGGCAGATATAAATGCTACTAAGCGCATGTTGGCTAGCAAATTCGACATGAAAGACTAAGGAATTGCTGATGAGATATTAGGAATCAGAATTCATAAGACTCCACAAGGTCTAGCATTATCACAGTCTCACTTTATTGAAAAAGTACTTGACAAGTTCAAGTATTTAGATTTCAAAATTGCCAAGACTCCAATTGACGTGAGTTATACACTTCAAAAGAATGAAGGTGAAAGTGACTCACAACTGGATATGCAAGAGTATTGGAAAGTTTAATGTATATCATGAATTGTACGCGACCAAATATAGCATGTGATATTAACAACTGAGTCGGTTTACAAGTAATCTCAATCAAATACATTAGATGGCAATGAAACGAGTTTTGGGGTATCAGAAACATACCCAAAATTATGCTTTGCATTATAACAAATATCCCTCCGTGATTGAGGGACATAGTGATGCAAATTGGATCACTGGATCATCTGAAGTTAAATCCATGAGTGGATATATTTTCACAATTGGGGGTGGAGCAGTGTCTTGGAAATCATCTAAACAAACGTGCATTGCCCGTTCTACAATGGAATCTGAATTCATAGCCTTAGATAAGGCCGATGAAGAAGCTGAATGACTCCGGAATTTCTTGGAAGATATTCCATTTTGGCCCAAACCTTTGGCGCGCGCGCACACAAACATACACACACACACACACATTAATCAAGCGAAAATAGGCAGGGCAGGGCAGGGAGCATTATGTATAAGGGAAAATCTTGTCACATACGACGGAGACACAATACCGTTAGACAACTACTCTCTATTGATATTATCACTATTGACTACGTAAAGTCAAAAGATAACATGTCGGATCTACTTACAAAAGGCCTATATACAGAGGCAGTTGAAATATCATAAAAGGGAATGAGGTTAAGGCCTAGGACAAGTCATCATGACGGTAACTCTACCAAGCAGATTGGAGATCACAGATCTAGGTTCAAAGAGATCAAACAAAGTTATGAATGACGGTACAACATTGTCAAATAACTCAACACATTCTTGTGATGAAGACAATGTTCAGAAATCGAGGCAAATCATTAAGGTTTTTTGATGAGTCAATAAAACTTAAAGCTTTTTAATAATTTGCTAAGTTTGGCAGGATATGACCAAATAGTGTGTCTATAGGATTAAACGTTTAGAAATCACCTGTGTGAGTGTGAAGTGTAAGCCGCTTCAAAGGGAATGAAAGTAAAGGCTCATTCTCTAAGTACTCATGAAACCAGGCGGTGTTCATGGCTAAAACGAATACAACCGTGAGAACCATAGATGGTTAAGGGTTGATTGTGTGACTTATGTTGTCTAGGTATATAACATAGCTCAACGATTCAAATATATCAAATCTATTGATTGACCGAGTATATCCAATATAAGTTTACTACAGAAAGTTCAAAGGGAAACCTACTTATCCATATACAATTAATCCTTGCATGTAAATCACACACTCGTCCTTGCATTCCTTTGTTTTATAGTCATTTCTCATTCATGTTGGGGATTATTGGGCTTTTAAAGCTTAATTTAGCTTAAACAGGGTGAAGGAAAAATGGAGGGAAAATGAAATATTTGAGTTTCCCTCCTTGGCAAAGGGATATTATCCCATATTGGAGGAAGGAAACACTTTTGATGAGTATATATACAATTGCTCTTCTGCTAGCTCTTAAAGAGTTAAGAAGAAAGAAAGCCTCGCGCCGTTGTCGGCGTCGCTCGCTCGGCTTCGGTTCGTCTTCGGATTTGGTCAAAGATTGATTGATTAATATTTTTGGACAAAATTCATTTCAATTATTTAATTAATTAATGAAATTTCAATCCGGAATAACCCAGGACCCGTGATGCGACCAGGTCCGGTCCGTTTTCTTTCCCGAATTATTTTAAATCTATTTTCCCGCAATATTTCAAACAAAAATATTCTCAACAGCCATGGTTGTTTCTGAAAGGTTGCAAACCTTTTCAGAAATATTGCCAAAAAGTCTATAAATATGCTTTGAATCCCATAATCGTTTCTTACGAAATTTTCTAATCTTCTTCTTCTTCTTCTTTTACACAAAATTTTCAGTGTGTTTTCCAGCCTTTGAGTGGTTCGCTGTTTCGTCGGTGTTTCGGGTAGCAACATTCTGGTGAGTTAAATCGTTCTACCCTGGTAGGATAATATTATATCACCTCGGGTACTTGAGGGAAATAATTTCTTTAAGGACACATTGTGCATTCAGTGGGCTCGATTTATTTCGATTTTTTTTCCAGAAATCATTTCGATATACTGTTACTACAAACTTTCTGTTTCTGTTTTTTCTTGTTACAGAAAGTTTACAGTTTTTTATTATTTATTACAGTAATACAAATTTGACTAATAGTAAGGACTATCTTAATATAGCGACTGCACTTGATCTTGCTTTCTTTTTGATGGCCTTGACATCCTTTGATTTAGTATTGTCCTTGTTGCACTTGATCTTGTTTCCTTTCTGATATTCTTGAGATGTTTGACTTTCTTTGATTGAGCATTGCCCTCCTAATTTTCTGCAATTAAAGAGATAAAATTAAATTTGCATCATTGTCATCGTTGAAACTTAAGTGTAACTGTTTGCTTTCGAATAAAATAATACGTCAAGAGAAGGAGAAGTCAGTTCAAGTCTTTAAAAGGAAGGTAAAATATTATAAATTTCTTTTATTAGCATTATATCTTTTATTCAGCCGGTTGAGTTGTTTGCACGTGCGTTATTGGTGATTACTTCAATAGAAGCTAATGGTAGATATATAAAAAGTGATGGTAGTTTTTCTTTATCACTGCATTTGTTACCAATTATATATGTTACCTATATTTAAAACATCTTTAGCCTCCAATTATTAAAAGGAGTAAGAGCTTAAGATCCCTACGACTTCAACAACAACAAAAGTATTTTGTTAATTGATACTAAAAAGTAGTGGATATCATCAGCTATGTAGCAAATTTTCATAGATAATCAAAACACATAATTCTGAGACCACCTTAATTCGAGATAATAGTTTTATCAATAAATTAATATTTATTATGACAACGGACCATTAAAACCAGTAGTACAAAATCGAGTCAATTACTCAAATGGTCACTCAACTATCTCAAATTATCTCCTAAATTCATTTTTCTTTCGTTTGTGACAACAAAGTCACTGAACTATGCTTATTGCACTCAAAAGGTCACTCAACTAATTTTTTCAAATTTTGGATTGCCAAATACCTATTTTACCCTGTAAATTATAAATATTTATCTTGGACAAGGAAGTCAAAAGGCATTTATGGGAGGATTTGGATTAGATGGTACGTGGTATTCAGCATACTGAGAAGCTTTTCAAAGGAGAGATTTCAACGACCATATTGGAACGACGTCTGGAGGGTATGATGATGTGCATGGTGGCTTCGATTTTGGAGATAGGAGGAACTTAAACATGAGCTGAAGCGGTTGCGATTGTCATGAGATGTAGAGCATGTGGGAAATATTGACATAAGCTCTTCTATTTGATATTACGAAGAGGAACTTCTCTATTGGACTTTGCTAGAGCATTAGATTTGGTGATAGCAAACTCGAGTTTCCCGAAGAAGGTGGAGCACTTGGTCACCTTCCGTAGTTCGGTGGCCATAAATCAGATTGATTATCTTCTCTATAGGAAGTTCGATAGAGGTATTTGCACGGATTGCAAGCTCATCCCGAGTGAGAACCTCACGGCCCTTCATAGGCTCCTGGTCATGGACCTTGAGATCATGAGGAAGAAGAGGAAGAGGGTGATGTATAGCCAATCTACGGTCAAGTGGGGAGCCTTGACAGAAGCCAAAGCGTAGGAGTTGGGGGTTAAGCTGATGACTAGGTGGGCTTGGAGGAGAGCGGGGATGCAAGCGCTATGTGGACCATGACTACGTAGTGCATTAGGGAAGCCGCTAGAGAGGTATTTGGGATCTCGAAGGGTTACTTTGGTGGACATAGAAGAGAATGCCGGTGGAATGGAGAGGTGCAAGGAAAAGTGGAGACCAAGAAAGCGGTATATCTAAAGCTAGTTGAAAGTGTAGACGAGGAGGAGAGAAGAATGAATAAGGAGCAATATAAGTTGGCTAAAAATGAGGCTAAATTATCAGTTATAGCGGCTAAGACTGCAACTTTTGGTCGTTTGTATGAAGAACTCGAGGGCCGAGGTTGGGATAAGAGGTTGTTCAAGTTAGCCAAGGTAAGAGAAAGGAAGGCTCGTGACTTGGACCAAGTAAAGTGCATCAAGGACGAAGAAGGTAGAGTTTTGTTGGATGAGGGGCTTATCCATCGGAGATGGCATACCTACTTCCATTGTCTCTTGAACGAAGAGGGTATAAAAATATTCTACTAGGTGATTTGGAACTCTCCGGGAGTCGTTGCGACTTTGGGTATTGTAGGCGGATTAGAGTTGAGGAGGTTGGGGAGGTTATGCGTAAGATGAGCAGGGGCAGAGCGACTAAGCTGGATGAAATTCCGGTGGAGTTTGGAAGAGTGCGGGCAAGATGGGATTGGGGTGGCTCACTAGGTTATTTAATGTCATTTTTAGAATGAAGAAGATGCCTGAGGAGTGGAGGTGGAGCACGAAGGTTCCTTTATACAAGAACAATGGTGATATCGAAAATTACAATAATTATCGAGGTATCAAGATGCTTAGCCATACTATGAAAGTCTGGGAGAAGGTGGTGGAGCTAAGGTGAGGAGGAGTGTGTCTATATCTGAGAATCAATTCGGGTTTATGCTGGGGCGCTAGACTACAGAAGATGTTCGCCTTATTAGGAGTTTGATGGAGCAGTATAAGGAGAGGAAGAGGGACTTGCATATGGAGTTCATCGGCTTAGAAAAGGCATAATATAAAGTCCTGATGGAGGTTTTGTAGAGGTGTTTGGAGGCTAGAGGTGTACCTATTTCCTACAATAGGGTGATTAAAGACATGTATGATGGAGCAAAGACCCGAGTGAGGATGGTGGGAGGGGACTCGGACAATTTTCTGGTCATGATAGGGTTGTACCAGGGGTCGGCACTCGGCCCTTTTTTATTTGCCCTGACGGTGGACGTTCTGACGTGCCACATCCAAGGGGAGGTGTCGTGGTGCATGTTATTTGCAGATGATATTGTATTAATTGACGAGACGCGAGGCGGTGTGAACTCGAGGTTAGAGATATGGAGGCAGACCCTGGAGTCTAAAGGTTTCAAGTTGAGTAGGACCAACATAAAATACTTGGAGTGTAAGTTTGGGGGTGAGACTCAGAGAGGAGAAGGGGATGTGAGGCTGGATTCTCAAGTCATCCCTAGGAGAGGAGGTTTTAAGTACATTTGGTATATTATTAAGGGGGATGGGGAAATGGATGAAGATGTCACACATCGTATTGGGCCAGGATGGATGAATTGGAGACTCGCTTTGCCACGACCCAAATTCCCTTCGTTGGGTATATTGATGGCACCTTGTCTTAGGGACTAGGTCAGCCTTACATTAACGGAAATGACAACAATATTTAACAAACATCTGACAATTTCAAAATAGAAAACTCTTTACACATTTACAAATCCCAAAACCAGTAGAACAAGTCATAAGCTCTACTGAGTTACTAGGAGGTCAGCAAATACAACTGTTTTGAAATAAGGACAAACAATATAAACACAACATCAAAAGCTGACTCCGAAGCCTACAAACACAGCAGCAGGTTTACTTTAAGTCTCCACAGCAAAATCCGTACAACTAGCTAACGATCGATTGACTCTGAAATACTTGGATCTGCAAAAAAAATGTGCAGAAGCGTGTTGTGAGTACACCACAGCGGTACCCAGAAAGTATCAAGACTAACCTCAGTGGAGTAGTGACAAGCAACAGTCAAGACACCTACTGGACTAAATAACATGAGCAAGTATAAGTGGAGAACTAACAGAGTACAACAAAACTACGCATAAAGACAATAATGATGCAATGCTTACCATAGGAAATAGAAACTACCATTAACAACGGAACACCACAAGTAACAACACAGAAGAGTATATTGAACACAATTTAAATCCGGTGAAAACAATTAGAGGAAGGACAAGTAGCAACTAGATGAGAATAACCACTTTCACACTAGGTTTTATCCAATAATCTCCACGAGGTACAGAACCTCAAAATATTCATAATTCACGGGACCCGATTTGTGAATCCTAAACACATGGCATCTTATGCCCTCATTACAGCTAATAACCGCACGGACGACGCACGTGCCAATAGAACCCTTCTCATGTAGAGGTAAATAGACGAGGGTGTATAGAAATGATCAATAACATTAGAATCCATTTTCTTGAATCGTTAGGGGTGATTAACTACGTGTATGCTTGTGCAAGTGTTCTATCACAATGCCAGTCAACAAGTAAGAGTAGTGACAATGAATGACACATAAGAAACGATCACCACGAAATGAACACGGTATAACTCACACAGAGTAGGCACACACTACACAAATAACAACAATAACAACGCCTACAGGCCATCGCAAGTCATCACAATCAATCCTCGACATAGCCCACCTTGTCTCTCCACATGCGCAATAATAAAGTAAATGCCCGACTTGTCTCGCCATATGTGTATAATAATGTTTCCAACTTGTCTCGCCACATGCGCAATCTGCATATATAGACCGCCTTGTCACGCCGCATGTGTAAATATCAATAGTAATAATAGCATGGCAGAAACCTCGTGCAACACAATAACATCCGCATGGTAGAAACCTCGTGCATCACAATAACAACCGCACGGTAGAAATCTCGTGCATCACAATAACAACCGCACGGCAGAAACCTCGTGCATCACAATAACAACCGCACGGCAGAAACCTCGTGCATCATAATAACAACCGCACGATGAAAACCTCATGCATCATAACAACAAGTACAACAACAACAATGACAATAACACATGAGTACGGAAAATAAATCAACTCAGAAATTCCAGAACTCAAAGAAACAGAAGAAACAAACTCACAAGAAAAGACACAATAGAAAATAATGATACCACCTAGCAATAGCTCTACAAGAAAGAGATACTGTGTAGCAATGACCTCCACATAAGTGCAATTCAACAATGAGGGAGTTATCACGAGTAGATAATTCCAAACAAGAATAAATAATTATAGAAGAGATAACAAAAATTTCAAATAAAGATAAGCAGTTAGGAAAAGATAGCATGGAATCAAAGAGGCAACAACTTTAGTTAAGGCACACAAGATCGAATAGGCATTAAGAGTGGAACATGAAGCGATTAATTCCAAATAAAACACGTAGAGATGAAACTAGTAAATGGGAAAATTTAACATAATAAAACAACTTCGTATCTAATGAACATAAGAATTTACGAGCCCTAAAGGGTCAATTTTGCATAAATAAGTCTGCGCACGTACTCGTCACCTCGCGTTCACAGAGTTTCCATGATACAATTAGCATAAAAGACTGAAATCCTAAGGGGTAGTTCCACCACACCAGGTTAGGCAAGATACTTACCTCAAAGAAGCTAGATCGCTACTCTAAAATGAACTTCTCGAGTGAAATTATTTCCGGATGGCTCAAATCTAGCCACTTCAAAGCATAAATAAAGCTCATAAGAAACTATTCCGGATAATAAAACTTCAGTCTTTATCAAAAACTAAAACAATCAACCCAAAAATCAACCCCCGGGATCACACCTCGGAACCCGAAAATTTACAAAATCTGAACACCCATTCAATTACGAGTCCAATCATACTAATTTCAACTCCGAATCGATGTTCAAAACCCAATTATTCTCTTTAGAAAAGTTTTTGATAAAAACCTCCCAATTCTCCAATCAAAATATGGATTAATTTAAAAATGAACTTCTGTAATAACATTAAAATACAAAATTAATAGATAGATACTGACCCCCCATGAAAATACGAGAAGAATGCTACAAAAATCACCTCAATCGGAGCTCTAGAACTCAAGATATGCTCAAAATACCAAAATAACGTGATCTGATTTTTTTATACTTGGGAATTTTCGCTTTCCAGCACCAGCACCAACTCTCTTCTCCGACACTAAAATGAGCATACCTTCCTCATACGGTGTCCAAATTCGACGATTCTTTTTGCTATGATTCCATAATTACGATACAGATCTAATGCTTTAATCAAAACAGAAATTAGAGCTCATTTGCTTAATGTGATACCATTTATGCTTGAAGAAACGAAGTTGAAACATCAAAAACAAGCGCAACACAACACAAACCTATTTGAAACTCACCTGAGCCCCTCGGGACCACGTCGAACATAACAATAAGTCCCAAAACATAACGCAACCTGCTCGAGGCCTCAAATTATATCAAACAACATCAAAACTACAAATCGAACTCATGAACTTTCAAATCCTCCAACTTCTAAAACTCACGCTGAAACCTATCAAACCAACCCGACATGATGTCAAATTTTGCAGCCAAGCCCCAAATGACATAACGGAGTTGTTCCAACTCTCGGAATCACATTCCTACCCTGATATAACCAAAGTCAAGTCTTGATCAAACCTCTCAACCTTCTAAACTTTAACTTTTCCAACTTTCGCCTAAATGCTTCAAATTACCCTACGGACCTCCAAAACCAAATTGCGACGCGCACCTAAGTCCAAAATTACCATACAAGGCTGTTGGAATCATCAAAACACCATTCTGGAGTCGTTTACACAAAAATCAAATTTCGGTCAACTCTTATCGCTTAAGCTTCCAAAAGTAGAATTCTTCTTCCAAATTGACTCTAAATCATCCGGTAACCAAACTCGAACACGCATGCAATTCATAAAACAAAATACGAAGCTGTTCAAAACCTTATGCCGCCGAACGGGACTTTAATTCACAAAACGACTGGCCGGGTCGTTACATCCTCCCCCTCTTAAACAAATGTTCTTCCTCGAACGTGCCAAGAATCATCCTGAAGTCATCAAATTACTGAATGTATTCATCCAACATATACCCGCGAGTGACCCCACATCACCCCAATCCATATAGACCTGACGACACCATCTCAACTTTAATTTATCCCTTCCACCAATACTAATAAGCCTTAGAATCAAAATATTTCACCATCCGCTCATCTCCAAAAGACCCGATTCCTACCTCTACATCTGGTATCGACCTCAACCATCTGCAAACACTTATGCCTACACCCACAAGGTACAACCACACATTGTAACACATCATGCATATGCCCAAAATAACATTTCTGATCACAATAGCTGCCCGAAATCAACACCAACACCGGCCATTAGCCTCATATTCGTTAGAACCCTGTTTCAACCCTCCACGGCACTCACAATGATGCAAGAAACATGAAGACCTCATAACTATTCACCTGAATCATCAAGTCACATCTAACACCATCACGCACACACCACGCGAGCTAAAATTCAATGAGCATAACACGAAAATGACTAAATATGTAAGGAGAAACATATACAAGAAATATTGAACAAGCCCGATAGGCATGACTCTCTGTCAGTACCATCCTAAAAATCAAGTTACAAGGAAAAAACAAAGTATATGAACAAATCACAAGGATCTCATGCTGGTATAAATTCCACCGCGGCACGCATCCCGGTTCAAACATATCAAATCATATGAAATTGCGAGGGTCTCACCCTCAACTCTGAATCACAGGTATAATACACATCATACCAACTGAAACCTTCTACTAGTTCGATTTCGCCATTAAAATCACAACACTTACTAAACTCTCACCCCGGTGGTGCTTCTAAATCACAAATCGTAACCAAATTACTCAGGAATCACATCAAAACCTACCGTAATGGACAACAAGAATTCACTTCTAGTCTCGTAACTCTCAATAATGAATAAAAATAAATGATAGACTCGAGATACCACTAGAGAGTCTCCCAACCAGGGTAAACAAATAAGCAGAATGCTAAATCACGAAACTAACCCATATGTGAAGCAAGCTAGGAGGAATCACCCCAATAAGCAGAATCGAAACAAAATATGAATGATGCTCCTCTATAACAAATCAAAAGAATACATGTATGACATCACCTGGTGCAGCTGCCTCAGACCTACTATATGAAACACATCAACGGGTCGGGCCTCCCCTCTTGGGCACCCTCTACTCGTCTGGATACCCTGTTGTGACACATCTGTCCGAAGTTTGGGAAAATCTCTCACCATGTGGCTGGTATCTCCACATTATAAGCAACCTCACTACTGACGTGGTTGTGGAAACTGTGTGGTATGGGTACTCTGAGACCCAGGAGCACTTGAAACACCGTGCGAAGCCTTAAGGGAAAACTAAACTGGATGACCCACATAACCTCTACCATGTCGTACCCTGCCTCCAAAATAAGGACCAATAGATCTCTCTAGTCTGCGAGGCCTCCTAGTCTCCCTGTCTTCTCTCTCCTGACCTTTCCTGCCCTCTCTCTCCTAGCCCTGCCTGTCTTCTCTCTCCTGGTCTCACATGCCCTCCAATCGGTGAGCGATCCCTACCACCTGCTGAAACGAAACATCCAACTCTAACTCCCCGGCCATACTGAACCGAATATCATGTTAGAGACCCTCAATGAGCCGATGGACTCGCTCTCTAATTGTAGTGATTAAAGCAGGTGCATGTTTGGCCAATTCACTGTACCTAATAGCATACTCTAACACTAATATGCAGCTGCTCAAACTCCACGCACCATGCATCCTAAAGGGACTGAGGACAAACTCTCTCAGGAACATTTCTAAAAACTGACCCCATGTAAGTGAAGCTGCATCGGCCAAGATACCTAACTCATACGCCCGCCACCACTGATAAATTGCTTTCCTAAGCTGGAACGTAGTAAAAGCAATCTCACTCGTCTCCACAATACCATAGCAGGGAGAATGCAGCTGCACTTCCTAGAAAACCCTATGCACCCTCTGAAGCCAAACCACTGAAAGTAGGAGGGTCATACTTCTTGAACCTTGCAAGTCTAAGCTGCTCTTCCTCAAATGTTGCTGCCATAACCACAGGCTAAACTAGAACCATAGGATGTGTCACCATGACACCTGAAACCTGACCAACTGGAATGCGCTGTTCTAGAGTACGGGCGGCGGGTGTCTGAGCTCCTTCCCCAGACTGTGAAGTATATGGTGCAACCAGAATCAACTCCACCTAAGCCAATGTACCAAACATACTAAGGATTTGTGCTAATGTCTACTGAAGTCCGGGGGTAACAATAGGCTCATTTGGTACCTATCCCCCAACAGGAGCTATTGGCGGCTCCTCAACTGCTGCTCTGGTAGGTGCCCTAGTTGCGGCACGTGATCCTCTTCAGCCTTTGCCTCTACCCCTAGGGACACCTGCTTCAAAGGAAGCGTCATTAGTAACTGCAGCTCTTGTCCTCACCATTTGTGAGAGAACGGAATGAGAAAGGCTTAAACTTCGAGACCAATAAACTCACACGATAGGAATGAACGAAGTGAAACTGTCCTAATAGTTCTGTAGCCTCTAGAAGATAAGTACAGACGTATCCGTACCGATCTGCAAGACTTTACTAAACTCGCTTATGACTCGTAGAACCTTTGAACCTAGAGCTCTGATACGAATTTGTCACGACCCAAATTTCCTCTATTGGGTGTCGTGATGGCACCTAGTCTTGGGGACTAGGTAAGCCTAATATTAATGAAAATAGCAATAATATTTAACCAATATCTGACAATTTCAAAATAGAAAACTCTTTAAAAATTTACAAATCCCAAAACCAGTAGTACAACTCATAAGCTCTACTAAGTTACTAGGAGGTCTGCAAATACAACTGTTTTGAAATAAGGACAAATAGTATAAACACAACATCAGAAGGTGACTCCGAAGCCTGCGGATGCAGCATCAGGTTTACCTTGAGTCTCCACAGCAAAATCCGTACAGCTAGCTAGTGATCGACTGACTCCGAAATACCTAGATCTACACAAAAATGTGCAAAAGCGTAGTGTGAGTACACCACAACGGTACCCAGAAAGTATCAAGACTAATCTCAGTGGAGTATTGACGAGGAACAGTCAAGACACCTACTGGACTAAATAACCTGAGCAAGTATAAGTGGAGAACTAACAAAGTACAACAAAACTATGCATAATGACAATAATGGTACAGTGCTTACCATAGGAAATAGAAACTACCATTAACAGCGGAACACCACAAGTAATAACATAGAATAGTAAGTTGAACACAATTTAAATCTGGTGAAAACAATCAAAGTAATGATAGGTAGCAACTAGATGAGAATAACCACTTTCACACCAGGTTTTATCCAATAATCTCCACGAGGTACAAAACCTCAAAATATTCATAATTCACGGGTCCCAATTTGTGAACCCTAAACACTTGGCATCTTGTGCCCTCATTGCAGCTAATAACTACATGGACAACGCACGTGCCACTAGAACCCTTCTCACGTAGAGGCAAATAGTTGAGGCTGTATAGAAAGGATCAATAACATCAGGATCCATTTTCTTGAATCGCTAGGGGTGATTCACTACGTGTATACTTGTGCCAGTGTTTTATCACAGTTCTAGTCAACAAGTAAGAGTAGCGACAATGAATGGCACATAATAAATGATCGCCATTAAATGAACACGGTATAACTCACACAGAGTAGGCACACCGCTAAACAAATAACAACAATAACAATTCCCCTAGGCCATCGCAAGTCATCATAATCAATCCCCAACATAACCCACCTTGTCTCGTCACGTGCGCAATAATAAAGTAAATGGTCGCCTTGTCTCGCCACATGTGTATAATAATATTCCCACCTTGTCTCGCCATATGCGCAACCCACATATATAGCCCGCCTTGTCACGCCGCATGTGAAAATATTAATAGTAAAAATAGCACGATAGAAACCTCATGCAACACAATAACATCCGTGCGGTAGAAATCTCATGCATCACAATAACAACTGAACGGTAGAAATCTCGTGCATCACAATAATAACCGCACGTTAGGAACCTCTTGCATCACAATAACAACTGAACGGTAGAAATCTCGTGCATCACAATAATAACCGCACGTTAGGAACCTCTTGCATCACAATAACAACTGCATGATAGAAACCTTGTGCATCATAACAACAATGACAATAACACAAGAGTACAACAAATAAATCAACTAAGAAATTCCAGAACTAAAGAAACGGAAGAAACGAACTCACAAGGAAAGACACAACAGAAAATAATGATACCACCTAGCAATAGCTCTACAATGAAGAGATATTGTGTAGCAATGATCTTCGCGTAAGTGCAATTCAACAACAAGAGAGTTATCACGAGTCGATAATAGATAAACAATTAAATAAGAGATAAAAATAATTTCAAATAAATATAACCAATTAGGAAAGGATAGCATGGCAATCGAAGAGGCAACAACTTCAGTTAATGCACACATGAGTCAAATAGGCATTAAGAGTGGAACATGAAGCAATTAATTCCAAATAAAATACATAGAGATGAAACTAGTAAATGGGAAAACTTAACATAATAAAACAACTTCATATCTAATGAACATAAGAACCTATGAGCCCTAAAGGGTCAATTTTTCATAAATAAGCTCGTGCATGTAGTCGTCACCTCGTGTACACGGACTTTCCACGATATAATTAGCATAAAAGACTCAAATCCTAAGAGGTAGTTCCCCCACACAAGGTTAGGCAAGATACTTACCTCAAAAAGCTAGATCGCTACTCTAAAATGAACTTCTCGAGAGAAATAACCTCCAAACGGCTCAAATTTAGCCAAAATAATTTCAAAGCATAAATAAAACTCATAAAAACTATTCCTGATAATAAAGCTTCAATCTTTATCAAAAACTAAAAAAATCAACCCAAAAGTCGACCCCTGGGCCTGCACCTTGGAACCCGATAAAATTCAAAAAATTCGAGCACTCATTAAATTATGAGTCCAACCATACTAATTTCATCCAACTCTGACTCCGAATCGATGTTCAAAATCCAATTATTCTCTTTAGAAAAGTTAAAAACCCTCAAATCTCCAATCAAAATGGATTAATTTAAAAATGAACTTCTGTAATCATATTAAAATACAAAATTTATAGTTAGATACTGACCCCGTGAAAATACGAGAAGAAAATCACAAAAATCACCTCAATCAGAGCTCTAGAACTCAAGATATGCTCAAAATACCAAAATAACGTGGTTTGATTTATTTATAAGCTGGGATTTTCGCTTTTGTGACAAAAAATCTGCACCTGACCATTTCCAGTTGTAATTCTGCTTTTGCGAACCAATTTTTGCACATGCGGGGTCGCAGATGCAGACCCAACTTCGCATCTGCGAAGCACCAACACCAGCTCTCTTTTCCGACACTAAAATGAGCATAACTTCCCCATACGATGTCCAAATTCAACGATTCTTTTTTGCTATGGCTCCATAATTACAATACGGATCTAATGCTTCAATATAAACAGAAATCGGAGCTCATTTACTTAATGTTGTACCATTTATGCTTGAATAAACAAAGTTGAAACATAAAAAACGAGCGCAACACAACCCAAACCTATTCGAAACTCACCCGAGCCCCCCGGGGCCACGTTCGAACATACCAATAAGTCCCAACACATAACGAGGACCTGCTCGAGGCCTCAAATCATATCAAACAACATCAAAACTACGAATCGCACCATGAATCGAACTCATGAACAAATCTTCCAACTTCTAAAACTCGCGTCGAAACCTATCAAACCAATCCGGAATGACGTCAAATTTTGCAGGCAAGCCCCAAATGTCATAACGGAGCTGTTCCAACTCTCAGAATCGCATTCCGACCATGATATTCCCAAAGTCAACTCTTGGTCAAACCTCTCAACCTTTCAAACTTCAACTTTTCCAACTTTCGTCGAAATGCTTCAAATTACCCTACGGACCCAAATCCAAATCCGGACGTGCGCCTAAGTCCAAAATCACCATACGAGGTTGTTGGAATCGTCAAAACCCCATTCCAGAGTCGTTTACACAAAAATCAAATTTTGATTAACTCTTATCGCTTAAGCTTTCAAATTTAGAATCCCTCTTCCAAATTGACTCTGAATCATTTGGTAACTGAACTCGACTACGCATGCAAGTCATAACACAAAATACGAAGCTGTTCAAAACCTTATGCTACTAAACGAGACTTTAATTCACAAAACGATTGACCGGTTCATCACACGCTTCTGGTATTTTGTGTGACAAGAAGGTACCGCCAAAACTTAAAGGTATGTTCTACAGAGTGGTGGTCAGACCGACTATGTTGTACGGGGATAAGTATTGGCCTGTCAAGATCGCCCATATTTATAAGATGAAGGTAGCAAAGATGAAGATGTTGAAATGGATGTGGGGGCACACCAGGTTAGACAGGATTAGGAATGAGGTTATTCGTGACAAGGTAGGTGTGGCCCCCATTGAGGACAAAATGCGGGAAGCGAGGCTTACGTGGTTTGGACATGTGAGGAGGAGCAACACAGATGCCCCCGTGAGGATGTGTGAGAGGTTGACATTGGAGGACCTAAGGAGAGGTAGAGGTAAAAAGAAGTGGGGAGAGGTGATTAGGCAAGACATGACGCAGCTTCAACTGATCGAGGACATGACCCTTGATAGGAAGGTGTGGAGGTCGAGGATTAGGGTAGTCGGGTAGGTGGTAGATTGTTCATATGGAAGTAAAATCATGTTACTTTTTACTAGTTTTGTCACGTCCAAAACTATTCCCTAGACGTGATTGGCACCCAGCTAACACCACCTGCCAGGCAAACCCCTTTCTCAAACATTTAGCCATTTACTCAAACACTGTGACAACAATTAAGTGCAGAGCTAAAAGTATTATTAATAATTAAAAGCAAATTAGTTACCACCCAATACCTTAGTCAATTGATAGAAAAACTAATTGTCGCTCAAATAATAAAACTCTTGCCCAAATCTCACATTAAGACCATAGAGCATCTAACAGAGTAATATGAGCTTTACTGACGGGTATGCAAGACCCAAAGAAAAAGGAAATAACTAACACGAACTAGACAAAGCTAAAAACGAAAGCGTCCAGGAACAATGCGGTGGCTCACCTCAGCAATAGGATCCACTCGAACAAACTCGTCTGCCACTAACTCTATCTCCTGCCAGTAAGATCCACGACCCTTCACTTTAAATACCTCTGGAACAAGTGTTAGAAAATTCAAATACACCACAACAAGAATAATATACTAAACACAATATATAGATATTAACAAAGTTAACAATAATTAACTAACAAGAATACACGTATCTCAACCCACTACACACTATGGACTTGTCATAACTGCAATGAAAGAAATTAACCAACACCTCTATAGGACCACAACGGCACCATAATGCCCCAAATATGTAACAGAACATATACAATGCTC